TGTCACCCCCCAGCCCTTGACCCCCCAATGAGCCCCACTTCAGCCCTCCCCCCCAGAGTTCTGCCCAGTGCTGGCCCCATCTTTCCTGCCTCTGACATTCGTCACCCCCACCCCGGCCGGGGCCTGCTGCTGGGGGGGACAGCTCTGTATTGGGGGGCGTTAGCTGTAGCTGGGCCCCCCGTTAGCACCAGCTGGGCTGCTGCCTCTGGTTGCCCAATGCTGCTAAACTCCCTGGTGACCCGGGGCAGGACCCGGCTGGATCTCCCTAGGCAGCTCCCCCATGCAGGGCATCGCACCCCGGGGACAGCGGGCAAGTATAGAACAGGCATTGTATTTGGGGGAAACTGAGGCATGAAAGTGGGGAAGAGAATGACAGAGCTAGGGATTGGACCCAGGAGTCCTGGCTTCCAGCCCTGTCACTAACCCCTAGTCCCCACTGCCTTCCCAGAACTGGGAAGAGAACCCAGGAGTCCTGGCTTCCAGCCCCCCCAGCTCTAACCACTAGTCCCCACTCCGCTCCCAGAGCCCAGCCCCAAGCGCCAGGTGCCGCAGGCCCTGCCCAGCTGCCCCCCTCCCCCGCAGGATCCTGCTGACGGTGGTGGTGATCTTCCGGATCCTGATCGTGGCCATCGTGGGCGAGACGGTGTACGAGGACGAGCAGACCATGTTCATGTGCAACACCCTGCAGCCGGGCTGCAACCAGGCCTGCTACGACCAGGCCTTCCCCATCTCCCACATCCGCTACTGGGTCTTCCAGATCATCCTGGTGTGCACGCCCAGCCTGTGCTTCATCACCTACTCCGTGCACCAGGCGGCCAAGCAGCGGGCTACCCGCTGCTGGAGAAGGACGCCCGCAAGGGCCGGGCGGCCAACGGCATCCTGGTGCACCACCCCGGGGCCTCGGCCAAGGAGGAGCCCGACTGCCTGGAGGTGAAGGAGCTGCCCAGCACGCCCCTGCGCCCGCCCAAGAGCGCCAAGGCCAAGCGGCAGGAGGGCATCTCCCGCTTCTACATCATCCAGGTGGTGTTCCGCAACGCGCTGGAGATCGGCTTCCTGGCGGGCCAGTACTTCCTGTACGGCTTCCACGTGCCGGCCCTCTTCGAGTGCGGGCGCTACCCCTGCGTCAAGGAGGTGGAGTGCTACGTCTCCCGGCCCACCGAGAAAACCGTCTTCCTGGTCTTCATGTTCGCCGTCAGCGGGATCTGCGTGCTGCTCAACCTGGCCGAGCTCAACCACCTGGGCTGGCGCAAGATCCGGGCGGCCATGCGGGGGGTGCAGGCTCGCCGCAAGTCCGTGTGCGAGGTGCGCAAGAAGGACCTGTCCGCCCTGGCCCAGGCGCCGCCCCTGGGGCGCACCCAGTCCAGCGAGTCGGCCTACGTCTGAGCCCCCCCCCGGGC